AACCGACACCAAGTCTGCACAATACCCATTACACAATACACAAAACCCATCCCCATTTGCTCATTCTCAAGCAACCTAAAAAAATCGGTAAATCACAACTGCTCAAAATATACGTCAGGTCTACACAATCAAGAACAAGATAGCGGCGGGGTTCAAGCTATTCCAAACACTGCTTCTCAGGTTATTAAAGCAACCGAGCATAACCAGCTTGCTTAAAGTCAACATATGCTACAAACAGCTTCAGCTCAGATTTTGATGAATATCGGATGGGTTTCCGAGCTATAACTCTTACTGGGTTGGAGAGCACAACGAAGCCCTATCAAGTCTTCACTTGGAGCATCGTTCAAGCTGCCATCGCTCAGAGCCATCTGTATGATTGGAAGAGGTACGAGAAACTTTCTAATCCGACATCGAAGAACTGTCACAGTTCAGAAAAACTGCAGCCAATTTCACTCCTCACCTAAGACAAAATAACGCATCTGAGACAAGTGCCGTATCAGGGACAGACAAGAGCTTCATCGAAGATAAGAAAATTTCGATTGCAAGCAGAGTCTTCTTTCGATAAACGCATTTATTTGTCTACTTATTGGACAGGATCTATGTATAATACTACAACGGATTCTCGACAACAGTTCTTCCCTGGCAAATGTGACCAGAAATTCAAAACTCCTAATTTTGAGCATGACTAACCACGGCTCCACCGCTCAAGCGCACAAAATCCGCTGTCACCTTAGGCGTCTGTCAGTGGCGAATGGGACTTCTTACTGTCTCCCTCATACTTGTGATAAGGAAGATCACGTTATAGAGCTACTGAGTCATAAGTCGCAGTACGACATATATTATAGCAAAAGATCGTTGGTTATAGACGGGCGTTCATCTGTCGCAGTTGTGCTCCTCAATTTTTTCCCTGCCAGGCGCCGTCATCAGGCTGCCTCGCCTCATACTAGCTAAGTTTCAAATACTAGTTCAGTATATATCATTCTCTACATATACAATGCAATAACTTCATGTGGCTGCTTGGGGGGACGGAGTATTTGCCCGTTTGTATATGCACGGTGCAAATGGCGCGGCGAAACTCGTAGCGACTTGAAGGACTTTGGCTCCTACCATGGCAGCACAATTTCGAAGTAAATATAGTAGATTAGTACGATCCGCTGATCCTTTCAATCTACTTCACTTAAAACTTGCGGTCCACGATAGGCGCCAGACTCGTCAAAATCGCCACGGATTTCGCCGCGGGCATCTCCAAACGGGCGAATGTACCCACACCCGGCTGTTTGTACGTCGTTTTGTATTCAGTCTCTAAAAGGCCACGCACGCTCGGTGAGGACTGTGATGTGTCATATGAGCGCGCTAAGGAAGGTGTGATGAAATAGGAGTTCTAGTGATACTCACAAAGTTAGCGATTTGTGGGCGAAACCTCAGTCTCGAACGGGACTCGAAACTACACTTGTGCTTCAGGGGCACAGTACTCTTTATTCCTTACACTACCGAGACCCTACTTGCCCTCGCCTTCTCAAAGGCTTATTCGCCAGAGCTTATCGGCCCTCACACGTACAACTTGGTGACAGCGATAGTTTCCAGAAAAAGGTCAGTCAGAGGAACAGATGCGGAGAAGTGGTAATACAGTCTAAGCGGCATGAATTTTAGTCCACAGAGCTTCGTCGAGTATGAGTCTTGTTTCACAAAATGTACCTGTACAGTGCTCGTTGTTCTGACAATCCTCAAAAAGTGCTGTCTACAGAAAACTAATGAAGAGTCTTTTTCAATTTAAAATCAATAGAGAATGTGCTCATAGTGAGGTTAGCAAACTGAAGCAATAACCATTCTCGAAATGAAGCGACGAAGGTCTGTAGTTGAATCAAATGCCCCGAGCAGGTGTGTGAGCGCCTTTAATAGGCGACGCAGATCACATTTAGATAGCACGTGAGCACACCGAGTTAAGCACAGTAAGAGCGATGAAAGATCATTGGAAAAACGAGTATTCTACCATCTAGCGGACTAACAAATAGATTAATCTCCTTTCCGACCTCCGGCTTGCATTTCATTTATGACGAGCACCAGTAATACTGGCTTAATCGCATTCACGAGTAAAAGAGTTAGTTGTTTCAAAAAAATGCGTTTCCTTTCTCGAACAATAACCTAAATACTTCGGTAGGTATCTAATCGGCGTGATTTCTGAAAGGGTACATCACTTTTGCAGCTACTAATGATTTTTACAAAGATGTGGTGAGACATGTTCACCTCCTTCAGCACAAACTAAAATAGTCAGGCTCTGTTGAGTATTCAGATTGATAACCCCGTTCCGGCTAAACCGTAGCATCGAGCGTTCTACGTTACAATGACTTCGCATAGTTAAGTTCAACAGATTTCAGAAAAAGCATAGTTTTTTCACCTAGCACAAATTTGTTCCTTTTTTCTACTGGTGTAGTTTCTCACCAAAAGTGATCACCGTGCCTTTTTAAATACACTGGGGAGGGGAATGGCAGAAAAAACTCCACTGTGTAATCACTTCCATGAAGTATTAGATATATATTATAGTTCCGTAATTGCTCACTTCCAACCTAGTACTCAGCCAATAGTAAGCTTAACTGAGCATACTCAAATGGCGAGACTTCTCAGGAAAAAACAAAAACTTACCGGAACTACGTTGTATGATGCCCTCATTTCGACATAATTTTTGTCTCAAGTATGTAGGGGGTAACCCGTTTGTAGGAACACCCGCTTAAAGATGTGACGGTATTAAGAACTTTGAGTGAGTGATTGGCCAACACACTTTTCGCTATGTATCACAAGAGTTGGTTTGAGTTTGGGTACCGTTTCGATTGAAATAACAGTCTTTTTTGGCTTGAGCTATCGTGTACAAATAGCGAGCTGCCATTTCAGCGACATTTTTTGTTTTCGGCGATTATGCCATGATTTCCGAAAATTTAACAACATTTTCTTCAAACAACATGATAAGCTTCGAGCACAGCTTTATTGACGAATTTATCACCATCGGCGGCACTTCAAGGACTTGGTGCGGAAATTAAAACCATAAACGGCACCTCAAAGACTCGATATGCGAATAAAGTTTGTCGAGAAAATTCGCGGAATTCTTTGAGGCAATTCAGAACAACACCCCTTCAATCATGCTTGATATAGAGGAGTGATGTCTGATGTTTTACTCTCCGGGCTCTTCTCCTTTCCGTGTAAAAATTATCCTACCGCCTGCAAAGCACTAGA